GCACTGCGCCGCGCCTCCGTATTACTGCTCGTCGAAATGCGTCGAAAAGTTACCGAAACACGAGACACGCGATACGAGATTACGATAGAAACGGGCGCGTCGTCTGTATCCTGGCACCGATTCGATCGCATTCGTTCGCTTTATTGCTGCGGTATACTGCATAAAATGCTTGCGCTGCGCCGTGCAAATGGCAAAAGAGGATTTACGACTTCCTAGTCAGACCAGATAGAGAAAGTAGACGCGGTTCGCGCCGTGCCGGCCGTCTTCCGTTTATAGTCGCGAACGACCTACTGTCTAATGGGTTGTTTCATCTCTTGACGGCCGTACTGTCCTCATCGATGTCGTAGTCTATCATATCCTTTCGCAACCTCACACAATTGCAGTCTCGATAATTCTGTTAAGTTAATGTATCAGTTACTGGATATGATTTAATTATTGGACGAAATGATCAAAGTTTTAACCTTTTAATTATATGTATATATAACTTTAAATACATTTTTTACTAAATTATTATAAACAACGAATTTATTTAGAGTTGTACATATCATTAAAATAGTTTAAAATTTTATCATTTCATGCAATAATTGAATCATGTCTATTTAAGTCTCGGTTGTTTTTGCAATATTTTATGTTATTTATATTTTTCAAATGTATATGTTACGTGGAAAGAACAATTTTGTTGAAGCATCTAAAAACTTGATTAGATGCAGATCTGAAAATAATTTTGTTGTCATTGAATGTCAAGTGATGAGTAATATTGCACAAGATTTTGAAATTTTAACATCTAGTTTGAGCATTCTGCATAATTATTGTTTGACAGAATTATTTTCAAATTTGTATCTAGCTAAAAAATTTTAGATATTCGGTATATAGATAAAAAACCATGCTTGTTGTATAAAATACATTTTTTTTAATTGGAGAGGTAAAAGCCATAGTAGTGTAAGTTACTTTTATGATTTTGAGAAACAATATTTTTTCAACTTTTTTTTTCATATTTATTACATAGACCGCACCAATAAACTCAACTGGATATTTTTAATTTTAAAAAAAGTAAACTTATACACATACACTGTGACTTTTACCCGTCTATTTAATCAGATGATAATAAGTTATATTTATTCTTTGTAATATTCCATAATATTGCATTACAAACAATGTATTTGTGCGAATACCATCTAAATTAATCATTACATTTTCATTTTCGTATCGATCATTTTTTTCAAAATTGAGAACATACATATAGTTTGTTCGTCTCCATTGGCTGTCAGGGTTTCTGAGAGTTAAATCAAAACTGATAATTATACTGAACCTGTCATTTTTGACAGACGTTTTTTTTATCGTTAATCACTGTAAACCGAAATCATGTTCGGATTATTTCGAATTGTTTATTAACGTAAAAATATTTACATCGGATTATTACGAGCGAAAGTCAGCGCTAATCTATCGATGCGATTAAATGTGTCGATGTACCACAGTTGAAACTAACTCACGCGATTGAATTTGACTGATCTTTGATTTTTCGAAACAAAAACAGACGCGCGGGTCGGCATTTTCATTATTCACGGCACACCGGCACCTGCATTAATTATAGTACTTTGATTTTGTCTATTTTGATTACTCCTTGCGGGTAATACGTTTCTCGCGTGTACATTCGCTGTTCAATTTCGCCAGTTAGTAAGTTTGCGCCTCAGAACTTGGGCGAGTGGCGAACAGCTCTTCTGCAAGTTTGATAAACGAAGGATAATCGTGCCGGATGGAAATAATCATTGACGAGAAAACGCTGGATTTTCACGCGGTAGCGAAACAGCGAGGACATCAGGTGATTTTAAAAGCGCGCGGGAAACGCGCGTGTTGCTTCATTTTTGCCTTCGTAATTTCCGGAGAATATATTTTCAAGCCGCTTTCGAGAAAAGCACGACGAATACACAGACTTGTTTCCCTTCAGTCCCGTTGCCAATTATCTTTGAAATGCTACTGTTGAAAATATTTCGACGGCGTTGGCGCTGCAGTGCTGCAAACCGCTCTTTCCCGTCAGGGCATTTTGCAGAGATAATGGCGTTGTCTCTCGCTCGCTGTCATTCGCGAGCCGACGAAATCGTGCCCCTTATCACCGCCGTACGAGCGGACGAACAATGACGACGGACAATGGCAGCGCTCGATCAACGACAATGGATTTTGTCGTATTCTCTAATCCGCGCCGGGACGCGCGTCGTCCGCCTCGATGCGTTTCTTCCTGCACTCGCGGTTATTCGTATTCCCGCTAATTAGCGAGAATTTGTTCTTCTCGTTCTCCGGTGAGCGCCAAGTTCGCGAACTTTTCGTGAATATAATTTTTCTTATCACTTTAAACTTAAGAAAATTTAAATTTGAATTTTTCCAATTACATCACTTAAAAATTTTAAGTACTTCTAGAGAGCCTCAAGTAAGAAATTGAACACTGTCCTGAAAAAATGTTCTGAGTATAGCGGACCAAACGTTTAAGATAAAATTAGATAGATATCTAATGCATCTCATTCCATCTTATGCGTCTCATTCTGCCTTATGCATCTCAGTCTATCTCATTCTATCTTACATTAACCCTGATCGATATTTGCTTCGAATTTTCTTGCTAGTATTCGTGGAATCTAATGTATCTTTAAATTAATGTATCTTTACTTAAAGTTAATTATTGTCATATTGAATGATTTTTTTCATTTTGAAAGTCTAAATCCGAGGAATAGAATTATGTGACTTAAAATTATGTAAAAACATTTGTTATAAACAATTCTTCTCAACGTATTTGAAGAAAATATCCGAGTACACTGATTAGTGTTAAGTCGTCTTGAATATCTAGGTAGATACTCCTAAATATCTTGAATTTCTTCTACATTTGTTCGTGACTTTTATTGTGATTTGACTTCTCGCGATAAATGTACACGTACACAAGGAACGTTGTATACAGTAATCTCTGCTAATCCTGCTAATCGAGAGTTAACCCTTACTCCAGGAAATCACCCCGGAAAGCCTCAACGAGATTTCCGCATGTCAGGGATGATCCCCTCGTTATTATACAGAGAGGGTGAAATAGACGGTCGAATAATTCCGCTATTACCGACATTGAAATCTACGTCGCGTCAAGAATCATTCGGCCGTTTGTCTTACGATTGCGATTGTTGCGAATCGGAAATATGGCGTCGCGACGAACAATGAGACGCATACGACCGTATCAAAGTTCGGGATTTACACGTGTAACGAGCGAGCTCCCTGCGCGCTACGTGAATGGTTAAAAATCAACGCGCGTAAAAGAGAGCACTGTGCAAGGTACATGAGGAGAAAAAGGATGGAAGAAAGGGTGGGAAAGACAGTAAAGGGAGAGTAAAGGAGTCCGGGAGAATGGGAATCCATTAACGAGTGCCGTTTTCATACCTTCTCTATGCGACTCTATATTCATCCCTTGCCCGCCAACCCCTCTCGCCACTCACCCTTAGTCGGCTGTATATCCTCCTCTGTCCTTTTCTCCGTCTTGTTGCTTGAAAGAGCATTCACCGGTACAATAGATCGTTCATTACCGATACCAGGATCCGAAAAGCGGGAAGATAGTAAATGCGAGAAAAGGGATAGTCGGCCGAGGCGTGAGATTCTGAGTATGCGTGCGGAACGTAATCCGTGTGCGTATAATTCACTGCGCAAACACAACCATATGGTATCGTGCATGTACACGAGGGAGATGGGCATAAATAGAGACGGTTGGTACTTTTAAGGAAGATGGCCGAATCTCCATATTTTCTGTAAGCAATTTCACGGCTCACAATTACGACGGAATCGCGTCTGATAGTGATTTAAATTTGAAGTCGTTCTTCACTTTTAACCGTTTCACTCGACGATTTGATCGCGTACATTATATGTACTTATATATATTCATTTGATATATGTATAGTATTCAATATACAGATGTTCAATTTAATCTGTCTACGTCGATCTCAGAAATTAAAGTGACGAAAAATAAAAAAAAGTAATGCCTCTCTAATGGCATTACTTCGAGATGATTTTATCGTGATGAAACTGTATTTATTTTTTATGAAATTTTAAGGGAGAAAATAGTAAAATATTTTAAATAGAAACCTGCAATAGAAATAACATTACTCGATAAGACACGAAAATATAAATCTAATGACCTTTGATTTTTAAAGCTCTATCTTTGATATTACGATCGCAATCAATTTTCAAAAATGTAAAAATATGTGTATCGGGATTTCTCTCTCTCGATATTATATACATAAAAGATTAAAATAACATTATTTAGAAATTAAAAAATTTATAAGCTATTTTATATTTATTCTGACATTTTAACATAAATTATTAAATATTTCGTAAAAAATTTACATTCCTGATATCATACTTTTAATACACATATATATATAGAGAGAGAGAGAGAGAGAGAGTAAAAAAATTTATATGGTTTTATTTTTAAAAAATATATGATGACAAGACATAAAAATTGGAAAATTTTTTTGCATTATCAAATTCTATAAAAAAAATAACAAAAATATCGTTATTTTTGTCACATCTTTTGTCGTTTATCGATTATTTTAAATATCAATCACTTCAAAACGACATGTATATTTTAAACATACTATAGATGCACTAAATATTTTCAAGAGAGTAACTTTTCATTAAATAATGAATTAAAATGTTTCACACAATATACGTTATTATATATGTAATAGATTAAAATATATCTGTGGTAAATAAAAAATTTAAATATCTTTTTACTGTTCTATATTTTAAAAAATTTATATATTTCTGAATAACTGATTTTTATTATATTTTCTTTATGGTAGTTAAAAATGTTTTGTCAATTTTGACAATTTGTTATTAATTCTTTCCGAAGATGTTAAATTGAAGATATTTAAATCGTCCCGCAGCTTTTCTTCAATTCTTGCGTCATAATTTTAATCATTTATTTTGTTTTGTTCATTTCAGTGACGCGTTAGGATTGCGAAGAGGATTAAGAAGTGGAGCTAGCGGACATTAGTCGCGACCATCGATGGCGGCCGCGAGTTTTCCTCCAAACTTCTCGAACGTCGGTGTACTAGAGAATTGGTAAGTGTCTGCCTCTCTTAATTGCTATTGAATTTGCCTCTAAGAAAAATAAAAAGCTGAGATCTTGATTCGTCATCACGTTAGAAATATATAAATCAATAGATTAGCTATTATTTATTTGTAACTAATCTTCTTACAATATTGGGCTTTTTTCGAAAGCTTTATAGACATGTATTAACAAGACTTAAATAATATAGTAGTCTGTTGACGAATGATAAATAATTAGCGGAAATCCGAAAATCAATTATTTATTACTCTCGAATCAATTAACTTTCTGTTTAAATCCCCTTCAACTACTTAGCGTCTAATAGATAAAAAGTTACTATAAATTATAAAAATTTATATTAGACTGTTAAGTTTGTTTATCTCGAGGTTATAAAATTATTACTCGCAATATAAAATATTAATTTTAGATGTACACATACTTATATCCGAATATAACGCGATTATGTCAAAGATATATTATAATAATTGATTTTAATGCATGAGAACTCAGCTTTAATCGTAAATAGATTAGGCTTATGCTATGTCTGCATGTTAGTAATGTGTAAATTTATACTTCCTGTCTCAAGCTGTTTTACGATCAGTGTGTATACACAGTGCACGATATACATTGTAAGAAGATACATTTGTATCTAATTGTAAGATGAAATCTCGATGATATCGAAACATCTGTTCGATCAGCTTAATCTTAATGAAATTATTTCATTTGCATTTTTTCCGCTATTGAATATTTCCTTCATCGAATACAATTAATAAATCACGAACTATCTCCATACCTAATCAGCATTTGTTATTTGCAATATTTAACGAATCGTTTCTAAAATATTGTTAAGAAGTATAATTTATGGAAGATCGTTAACATTATATATTGCACTACTTAATGTTCCACATTAAACATTTTTATGGCTGAGTTAGGAATTGAAATGTTGCTGAAACAGGATCTACTTGAATTCAACCGTGAAACAAACTCCGCAACTTTATACAGTTCTCGAGCTTAAATCACGAAAATTTCTTCTCATTTCTCATTAATTTCTTCTTAATCTTAATCAAGAAGTCCGTTTGCGTTAGTTGCAAATCATCGTACATATCCGAGCGAGTCGAGATCTCGGCATGATATTCGGACGGGTCGCCGGGCACAATAAAGTGGCTTAGACAATGCGGTATTGTTGTATACGCGTTTCGAGATATCTTCCACGGAAGGTCAGACGCCGTATTATCGTCCGCCCGTCATGGACGAAACAGGATGGTTGCAGAAGCGACGCCAGCGACGGTGAAAAGACGACGGGGTGAAAAGTAGGTTTCTCCTATTTTCTAGTTTTGATTAAAGTTCCTTTAAAAAGAGTGAATACAACGATTCTTCGTGTGCATATACATATACACGTACCAGCGTACATAACGGATGAAAACCGCGGTGCGCCACGCACGACTTTTCGTATCCCTTTCTCCCTTGCGTTTCCGTCATGTTCCCGCGACTCTTTAGCCGAAAGGGAAACAGGGAGGTCCGTATATTTGCGATTCTCCTAGCACACCCTTTGTTCCTGACCTGCGAACCTTACTCGCCAAAGATCGAACAAGGAGAATCGTGATCAAAAGGACCTTTCTAGTGGAATACAGTGCGAATGTTTTCTTAGGAAAACCGCGCCGAGACGTGTTGATTCGCTCGCGAGATGAATTACTACACTGACAATGAGAGACAAAATAGTCTCACTGAAATATTACTATAATTTGTAGTCATTTTTGTTTTGTCAACTGTATATACATATATTTTTTTTTTTAATTATAATTATTATTACAGTGCAGTAATAAGGGAGAGTATAAAAGACACTGTCATATCTAAAGGAAAAATTAAATAAAGTTGTCGATTATTTATCAATTGGTAAAAGTTTCTATTCAGAAACTATTCCAGTTACTTGGAGATTCAAACTGCAGTAATTAACATTCATATATTATTAATCTAAATTATAATTTTAATCAAAAACATCGGTTAGATAATTTCCCGCGTGATAGCGAGTAATTTCGAACGACAAGGATTTGGATCACTGAATGCGAGATTATTATTACTCTAATATACTATAATAGTATCGTTAGTAATATATAAATTCACACGAAATTATAATAGCATCTAAGCCCATCAACCGTTAAAAGCAATTTCTCATTAGTTGTGTTTCTCACATGTATGGTCCTGTAAGATTTAGTATCGTTAGTGTTTACTTTGTGTGTTCACAATTCCCTCCACTCTTCCCTAACTTCATAAAAATGGAGTTCTTTTAACTCTATAATAATTTTACTGTTCAATTATATAGTAAATATCAAACTCTTCTCTGCCTTCTATCTACATGATTACTGAGACTGTAAACGGGAAGAGCCAATATACATTACATGTCATATTATGCAAACGCAGTTCTGAATCCCGAAATAGTTGAGAAGTCGCGTTGTGGTTTAATCGTACGTGAATTTGTAGTGTGCAGACATGACGCGTGCGCCCACACACACACACACACATACACACTGTGAGATATTTAGAATTGTATATGCAACGAACCACTTAGTAATGCTTTTCATTATAACGATTAAATGCCGCATCGATCCCTCGAATGTCGATTAGCGGCATTAACGCGCGGAGGATTATATCGCTCATCGCGACTGATTCGAATTCGTCGAATTCAGTATCGGTCATATCTCTCTCTCTCTCTCTCTCTCTCTCTCTCTCTCTCGTTAAAAGAATTTAATAATGAATAGACTCCCTTTATTCTCGGATGTAATATGCTTAAAACGTTATATATTGTCCATTTAAAATTGAATATTGCGTCGCGAATATGCTATTTTGCCCCGATTATTATTTCTAGACAAATATCACAGTGGAAGACTAAAAAAAATAGGCTCGCCCTCTCTTGTATTTTTTGGAGATATTTTTGAAACAATTTTTGTCTTTTCTTTTGGAACTTTGCATTTTCAATTTTTATCTACTGCCCCCGTGTATTCTACACAGCTGTAACGGTACTTCCGCAGTAACATTGAAACACTCGCCGTATTTTAAAACACGACATCTCGTTCGTGAACATTTCTCAGGCTTCAGGCATTAATCTATTTACGGACGTGTTTTTGCTAACAGCGAGTGCATTCGTGCGTTGGTATTATTTGGCATTTCGGACACTTTCTCGTTACGCGCGTACGTATAACAAGAGGATGTAAATGGCGAACGGCGCGATTCATTTTCATTGTACTTTGTCGCAAGAATGACGAGCGGGGGCCGCTCGTATTTTCGGACAGTCCATTGAGAAAGGAGGCGCAGTCGGCGCGCCGGTCGCGCGGCGTTGCGTTCGTTGACAGTTGCGTGTTGGACGGGTTCCGTTCCTTTAGCAGTTAACGCGACTTGGAGGCCGCCGCGTGTGAGGGCGACTGGCAGGTGCTAGGTCGCCCACGCGACGTATATTGGTCGTCGAGATAGAGTGGGTGGCGTCCACAATTAGCCCGACGTTAGCGCGCGCGTACGTCATAAATTGATGTTACGCCAACGGCGGCGCGGACGCGTATACTCGCGTCGGTGACAAACCGTTCGGATTTTTGCTAGCGGCGCGTAGAATTAATTTGCGCGACGGCACAGCGGAAATAGAGATTGAAACGACGAATTTCGTCGGCCGAGATTTTCCAGCGTAGACGATGCAGCCATATCGCGACGCCAGCCGCGCGTTCAACGTCACCGACCCCCGCCGCTCTTACCGAGAAACTCGGGAGAGAAACTTCTAAATGAGTTTGCATATTTGATAAATTTGAGAAACATTGCGTCGCGCGCTATTCCGCACGTACGCTTTTATTTAGATCTATTGCAGCGGCCTGGTTATCGGTAAAAAAAAAAAAGCGAAGGATATTTGTCGCCGTTATTTTTTTTATTACCTTTTTCTTATCCAAGGATGTTATTTCTTTCGCGCGCTTCTGCTTTTGTTCAATTTTATCTAGCTGGGGGAACGACTGACGTAAGCGTGTCGTTTCTAAAGCAGTCGTTCAGCAGTGCTTCCGTTTTCGTACCACGAGAGACTTACGTAGCGATAGATATTTACGCAAGTTTCGAGTCTTCAAAGCAGATATTTCTAAATGCATCTTTTGTGCGCGATGAAAACCCAATCGTGGACTTAATGTAGGATAAAACCTTTCCATCTTTCGATCGATTTCCATTCCATCGGAGTTTTTAAGATTTTTCTCAGGAATTCTATTAGCGGTATTAACTCTCGCGCGGATATGATTTGCACATTACGCTACCATTATCTTGAATTTTACACAAGCCGATGTGCGCTCACCGATAATACCTCAAAGCAAATCCAGAACAAGATGCATGGACAAATGAAATACGATTAAAGTACTCTCCGCATTAAAAAAGATTATTTGGTTATCATTGTAAAAATGAAAATGTGATTCATTCGTCAGGTGATTAATTCATCATGCCACCCTCTGGTAGTGTGACGTATGTTCGTAGATTTAAAATTATAATGTTGAAATTGATCACCAAGATAAGCATCACTCTCTTGTTATTTTAATTAAATAAAAAAGATTTTATGTTAATATATCACAATAAAAGTGGAAAAAACAAAAAGTAAACAATAAAACCAATATCCTTATTTTTTTAAATAAAAGAAATTAAATTTCCCTCTACACAAGTATTTCAACTTGACAGAAAGTCATTAATCGATAGAAAATGTTATTCTTAATATGATCAAATATTAAATGTCATTTTTATCGTTTTTATCTCGCAATTCTTAAAAACCACTCTTTTTAAATTTTTATGATTTTCACGATGTTTTAAAGACAATTCTTTTTGAGTTGTAACAATTTTAACGATTTTCTCTATGAAGTTAAATTAGTCCTCTTTTAATAAGTTATGTTTATTTAACTTATTCATGGAAAGAGAACTCGAAAATCACGTTTTTAAATATCATTTTGGAAGAAAACGATATGTAGTATTGCAAGGAAAAAGATCGCTATGCGTAATAGAGTTATGGAGA